CTGCAAAGGATGGACTTCAAAGGCAGGAAACGAGGCCGCAGTGCAGGTGAACAGGGGACAAGGACGTGCAGTCGGGTTAAATTAGCCCTTCTGTTTGCAAGCAGAGAAGCCGAGTTCTGTCTGCCTCTTCAGAGGTTTTGCTACAATAGCAAGGGTGAATATAAAATGGGACAGATCTCAGCTCAGTGGAAAGTTTGGAGCTGAGCTGGCAGAAAGGTCAGATCCACTGGGGAGGAGGTGGACGAGGACACATGGCTGGGCTATGTGACTCATCTGCTTGGAAAAGCCATTTTATGGTTTATGGGGGTACCAATGCTGAGGCTGCACAAATACAAACACTGATGTCCTTTTCATATCCTGAATCAATGTCCAGTAGCAGTACAGTTAAAAGAGAATTTGAATTTTTGAAACAACACCTCAGCCTACAACTGTATTTCTTTTCTCATCTCCACCCAGATATTTAAAATAGGGGAGGAGAATGCAGGGCCGTTTGTCCCCTCTGTGACAACACTGATTTCATTCAGTTTGGTTTTCCTTTTTTTGTCATAGACTTATACAGTTTTGGAGAGCAGAGTTTGGAGGATAGCACTGATATTTGCTTATTTTGGGTTCATCCTTGGGGCTTTAAATTATTCATTTTTCAGCAACCATCTTATCTGTGTTGGGATCAGTGTGTGAAAGGTTTAGGGGAAAAACAGACTGAGTGTTGTGAGAGAAAAATCTGCACGCTTTGTAGGAGAAAATGGAATGCATTTATTATGAGGAACATAAGAATAGCTTGGAGTCTCGCTGCCTGCAGAGGTGCAATATGGTCAAGAAGTTACTCTCCCAATTTTTGATTCACCCAACCTTTCTCAGAATCTGGTGGCTAAAATGTCTACATCTTAAATACAAGTTCATGTACTGAAAACCCCACATTATTTGTTGTGAACCTGCCTCCTTCTACCTTCATCCGAGGTTGCCTACCTCTCATGCTGGAAGACAGAAGGAGCAACTATCCCACCCTTTATCCATGATGGGATATTTTATCTTCCCTCAGACACCTTTCTCCCAGCCTCGGGGTCCAGTCTACTTAACTGCTCCACAGATGGAAACTATTCCCTATCTTTGATCTTCTTTCTTTGAACCTTTTCCAAGTCTGTCTTGGGGAAAGGTGGGTGGAGGCATGGGATGGACAGATGGAAGAAAGGCAGCAGACCAAAGCTGGAGCATCCAAAATGTGGGTGTAAGAGGCTACACTGTGGAATGATGGTCTCTGCTTTGTTCTTTAACCCTTCCCTAATCATTTTCAGTTACTATTCTGTCATCCTAAGCGTGGAGCTGATATTTTTATTTATCTAAAATCATTCCAAAATCCTACTCCCAAGCCTATTAATTAGCCTGGATCCCATAATTTCATATAAAAATCAGTGAATCCTTGCTGCACTTTTATTAACTGATTTTATCTGCCATCTTCCTGCCTTAGCACTCAGCCTTATAAGGCCTTCTGCTGTGCCATGAGGAGAATCTTGTAAATACCTTGTCATACCTCCTCCTTTCCTTTGTTTCTGCTGTGTGGAGGCAGCTTGGAGCAGCTGGGATACAGCCTCTTTCTTGGGATAAATCTATGGACAACCACTTACATCCTTCAGGCTCTTTTCCCTGCCTGATAATTCCTGGTCAGACGTGGACGCTCTGTAGCTTTATCTTGACTAGGCAGTTGTCACAAATAATTGCAGGCAAAACAAGATGTTCCAACGAGAACTTTGCCTGCATAAATTAGCAGGGGAAAAAAAGTGAGAGGGCCTTTATAGCCCTATTGCCATACGCTGTTCCAGCACTCAGAGCCACAGCTTTGCTTAGTGTTTGATCTTACAGCAAAACTGCTCTGCTGTGATTTTACACAAATTACTGTGGGTTGTTTCTCACTTATGATGTTTTAATCCTCTTCTGGTTGCTGTTTCTGCTGGAAACAACAGCTCCAAAGCTGAACGTGCTAAAGGATTTGACATAGTTGGGACAGCGACCGGAGCCATAAAGTAAAAATAATTAAATTTCAGTTTTGAAGGTAAAACTCGTTGTCTACCACCCACCCCCACTGTATCAGAATCACTGACATTTAGGCCAGAGAGCACACCTGGCTACACAAAGCATTTCTTACGAAGTTGTCTATGTTGACATGATAAGCTCCCTAATTGGGCTGTTCTATTCCATCTCTCTTTATGGCTCCCAGTCTGCAGTATTTGTATGAATAGTTTATGCCGTGCTGTACTTATTAATATGCTCCCACCACCTAAATGGCATCATTATCTGGAAGGTTCAATTAAAAGGTAATCTAGTAGGAGGTAGGATTCCCAATTACTGAGTGTGGGAAAGACACCTATTCTGTTCCCACTGCCTTTCATCTCAGACATAATTGAATTGGTCTTTCTCCCAAATAAAATGTAGCTTTTCATCCCTGTAGGGGAAGGAGAGAGGTCATAGAGACCTGTGGAGACCATATATAATGATGTCTATTTTTACCTCCACTTTTCTTTTAAGGTACAATTAAATCTGTAGTACACTCAAATTGCAGGCACTCCGTGCGCTCCCTTGTAGGCAAAACAGAAAAATAAATTCATTTCATGGCTATTTATTGTAATTGAAAAGCAATTTTTTCATTTCAGGGTCATTAACCAGGCCTTTACAAGTGCATCAGGAGTAAAAAAAAAAAAAAAAAAAAAAAATTAATTTACATTTAATTTCTTACAAGTGTTTCACTTTGTAAATGGGTACCACCACTCTTTTAGAAAATGTCAGAACAATGTAAGTCTGTAATTTAATATTCATAACTTAAAGCTCCAGGTATAATTTCCAGGGACATGGATTGTGAATAGTACCAGGGGTTTATTAGTAGTCTGCTTTTCTTCCAGGGAAATATTCTCAATAGTAACTGTAAAATCAAGCTTTTGAAAACAGAATATTTTCCATTAATGCTGGTAAATAAAGTGGCACTAAAGAATGAATTGGTTTTTCCCCACTCTTTTTTTTTCCAGAAGACACAAAGCCAAACAACTTTATCTTTTTTAGCCTTTTCAATTTGACGTATTAAGTGGATTTTTTTGGATTTTAAATAAATTTAATGGTGTTTTATACCCTTAAAGTGAGAAAATAAGGCAAGGAGCTTCACGGTCAAGATGCTTCTGATATCTCACCTCATCTCCTGGCTCGGCTTTTGGAACTGGAGCCCTAAAATTTTTCATGCAAAAGTGAGTCAATTCTTGATATACTCTTCTCTTAACTGTATTTACATATTCACATTTTATTATGCTAACATGTTTACACAAATTAACATTTTATAAATTTGATATACATCCGTGGACGCTCAGCTAGCATTGTGGTTTTGTAACCTTTATCGAGCTGCAAATTTGGTGGCACTTTCAAACTGCAGAACAAATACCAGCCTGGATACCATGGCAGCTTCACAGATGTGCTGTCTTGTTTTATATTTATATTTAAATTTAATATTTAGATCTGGATTTAAATTTATATTTATATAGGTATATGGCATATATTCCGTAATCCCTCACTGTAGAAATATTAAGAAAAGTTGTATTATTTATTCCTGATGCAGTGAGAAAATAGCCTTAAATGTTTCATCCAAGCTAGGGCTGTGGTGACTTTGTCATGGAAGTTTTTAAAACATAATTTCTTTGGGTGGGTTCTGAGCCTTATCTGAGACAATGGAGAAAATGCACTCACAATGCAGCTTCATCAAAAATTCCAGTGGGAAGCCAGTAGCTGCATTGTGAAGTCATTAAATGTCAGTGGCTGAAAGGAGCATGGCTAGATACCCAGGATTTCAAAAAAGTATTTTCCCCATCGTTCTGAATGGAGATAAATTAGAGGAAGTCAGTTAATCCATCACTGGTCGATGGTGACTACAGTAAGCTCACAGTCATTGGATTTGTCTGTAACAGCTCATGGAAATATCAGAAAATGCAACGTATTGTCAAGAAAAAAGGAGAGAAGAGGAGTTCGGAGTGTTGCAGGTCAGTTTGCAACAGCATGGTGTCTAGGAAAATGAGACTACTTTTCTTGAGTAACCTTGCAAACTAAGGCATTTGAATAGCTGTTCATTAATACGATAGAACCACTAGTTAAAGTTTAACGAGTCAGCCTAAGAATGCTGTGCAATATTTCATAGCAACAGAGCTTGAAATATTTACTTACTTATTGTTTCCTTACCATTAATAATGAAATACCCAAGAGGTTGTTTGCATTCCTCTCATGTTAAACAAAGCACACTAATTTGTAGATTTAAATGGGTCACTTTTTCTGTCCAGACCTACCAGATATTTTAGGGTTTTTTTATATGAAGCAGCTTACCCCAATGTGAGGGTGAAGTGTATGTAGTTATGGGTGTGTTTCGGTGCAAGTTTCACAATTTGTTTTATAAGCTTGTTGTTTTCTGTCTCATAAATTCAGAAGTTCATGGGGAGCTGTGTTTGCTCACCGAGGGCTGTGCTCTTTGCAGAGCACACACCTGGCCAGGTGGGATTGAGTTTCTAAATACAGATATTCAAGTATTAGGTGTCAAAACAGAAGTGGCCTAATTTTTAGTGTTTCCAAAGGTTTGCAGCATCACCGGGGCGAGCAGGGAAACCGGGGACCACTGAGCCTTCCAGTGCCAGGCTGGAGCTCCCAGCTGGTAAGGCAACACTGTGGTCGGTGTAAACCAAGCTGACAGCAGACGCAGTGATGGTTAACAGTGTAAAGGCACACATCCCTCCTCTATCCCGCATGGCCAAGAGGGAGCAGACCAGGAACACAACCCCAGCGGAGGGAACAGCATCCCTTAACGTGAGGCTCTGGCACCACCTGCGGGCGGCCCGGCTGTCCACAACGAGTGTGTCCCAGCGTCCCTTCCCTCCAAGGCTCCCGGCGTGTGGATGGGCACGGCACAGCGCACGGTCGGACCGCAGTGCGCCCCTTCCCCTCCGGGACAGGCGCTTCCCATCGCCCCGGGACACACGGACACGCCGAAGGGAACCTGGGGGGGAGCGGCCATGTCACGGCCCGCCCCGGCGCATGCGCGGCGCCACCCCGGCAAGATGGCGGAGGCCGAGGAGTGAGTGCGGTGGGATGGAGGGAGGGAGGGAAGGAAGGATCCGCCGGGATCCGCGGGCACCGCGCGGCACCGGAGCTGGGGGCGGCGGCGGGGCAGCCCGGGAGGGGCGGATGGAGGATGTGGGGCCGGAATGTGACCGGGGTGTCCCGCCCGCAGGCCGAGGCGGCGGATCCCGCTGGTGCCGGAGAACTTGCTGAAGAAGAGGAAGGCGTACCTGGCCATCAAGGCCACCCAGGCCAAGCAGGCGCTGCTCAACAAGCGCAAGGTACGGCTGGTCGCGGGGGTCGTGCTGGCTCTGCTTGTCCTCCGAGGGAGGGAATCGCAATTCGCTGCAGTCGTACGGAAGCGATGCCAGTGATCGGCCTCCTCACCCAGGGGTTATCTCCGAAGGGAGCCTGAGCTCGGCTCTTCGCTCCCTGGGCATCTGCTCCGTGTGTCTGTGAGCCCCGTAAAAAGGGCAAGACTTTCTGGCTGGTTGCAGTGGAACAGAAGTGTATTGAAGTGTGTGAGTTGTTCTCTTGCATGAGAGGTGACCTGCTGGGATGTGTTTACAGCCACACACGGGGAACTGCAACGCTGCTGAGTTGTCTGCGCTCTCTGAAACCAGCTCACCTTTGTAACCCTTCTCTTAGAAGCATTATAAAGCTTTTTCAGTGAAGCCCTTTTTGATGGGATTATAGTGCCATTTTTGTTGGATACTGTGTTTGTGTTTTTAAACACATCAGTGGCTTGCTGTATTTTCAAGGTGGAAGTGAAAGCATAAGCAATAGTGTTAAGTAGCCACTCCTTAAGACTCTCATTAGAGAAATGACCTTAGTGATGAGGTTTTGATTAGGTCTGGCTGCTTTGAAAATTCAAACCAATTTATGGAGGATTTACAAGGTAAAATAGAAGATACATAACATTAGATGCTATAATTTAAAATGACTTTAATTTAACTAGTAGTGTTATCTTAAGTATTACTGTGTAACTCCCATGCATATTCAAGTCCTATTTGTATGATTTATGCACTATGATTTAGGTGGATGTATTCGCTCCTAAGTTAAGGATAAGCAATTTCAATTTAAAAAATGCTTTAAATTTTCCCATAATTCTGAAAAGTGTTTTTTTTCCAAGCCAACTGGATGTTTTGTGTATAAATTAGCAATATTTAATAATTACTTGAATGCTTGGATTTTTTTTGTATGTGTGTGTGTATGTGTGCCTTTCTAGAAAAGAACTTTATAAACAGTTATTTTCTGTTGGATGGTAGTTTTGAGTCACCCTATGGTATTTCTGTAGTATCTCCTTTGCCAAGATACAGGTGTTGTGTCTGGCTTTCCCAGCGATTGCTGAGCTGGGTGCGTAGCTGTGATCATCTGTGGCTGCAGATACTTCCATTTAATTTCTCCTGTGTCTAGAAGTATCCTGGGTGTTGCTGTTTTCCCTAATTTATATTCTTCATGGGGAAAAACTCGTTGTTCACTGTTCATAAATTATATCTAGCTGCCTCTGAATTCATGTGTTGTCCCTCAGTTGTGTCCCCCTTGGGCTTAGATAATCAAATTTATTTTCTTGTTACTGCTTCCAAAGCCGAAGGAACGTTGTTCCTCAAGCCCTGCATTTCATTTGGCCTGTCAGATGCAAACTTCTGAGACTGTTGGGGTGGGTGATACTTTCTTTTCCTTTTCACTGCAGCAGCAGAAGGGGAAACAAATCCAGTTCAGACGCCTTGAGACTTTTGTTCGCGATTCGTGGCGCAAGCGCCGCGATGACACCCGGCTGAGGCGCATGGAGCAGAGACCTGGGCAGGCGGTGGCGGCACCTCAGGAGCGCAAACTGGCCTTCGTTGTGCGGATTGTGGAGTAAGAAACTCTTCCTACTCCTTGCCTTCATTATTGCTGCCTCTTGTTGTGACACTTCTGTGCAAATGAAGCGCGATCATCACACTCATCTGAGGCCTTTCGTTGCTGCTGTCTTCATTACTAACAGTTGGGTTTTTTTCTGACTCAGTATTAAGGGAGTGACCAGGAGGGTGAAAAGAGCGATGGAGCTGCTGCGGCTGAGAAAGAATTTCACTGGGATATTTGTTAAACTGACCCCATTAACCCTGAAGTTGCTGCGGGTCGTGGAACCTTACGTGGCGTGGGGGTAAGTACCACTCCTGGGGCTTGGCAGTGGTTTGTATGGGAATGTTACTGCTTTTTGGTTCTCCATTTGGTATCACAGATCCATAGCTGGTCAAAGCTTAACCAAATTCATATAAAAAACTTGTTACTGTCTCTTGTCCTCAACATAGCTTGGTTACTACTTTCCCAGGAAGGATGGGGCTTCCCACTGCATTGTGTCTCTCACTGCAGAACCTGATTTTTTTTTTTGTACAGATACCCAAACCTGAAATCTGTACGAGAGCTCATCCTGAAACGGGGCCAGGCCGTGATCAAGAAGAAGAGGGTGCCTCTGACAGACAACATGCTGATAGAGGAACATTTAGGTGAGGAGGAGGGTGAGAAAATTGAGGAAAGAGTTGAGAGTTTACAGTCTGACCTGAGAGTGTAGGGAGGGAGAAGAATCTTGCCAGACTGGAGGGCTAGCAATCTGGAGCAGCGTGAGGAATGATAATACAGTTAGCCATTGCTTTTGTTTTTTTAATTTTTATTTTTCTGCAGGGGGCTGTGGTATTATTTGCCTGGAAGACCTTATTCATGAAATCTACTCAACTGGGAAGTATTTCAAAAAAGTCACGAAGTTCCTGTGGCCATTCCACCTGTCGGTGGCTCGCCACGCATCGCGTAACAAAGTGGGTTTCCTCAAGGAAATGGGAAAGCCTGGCTACAGAGGGGAAGCCATCAACCAGCTCATACGTCAGCTCAACTAGTCAGGTGAGTGCTGCCTGTTGGGTGAATTCTGAACCTTCTCCTTTACTCCCTTTCCTAATAACCATACTGCCATTGGACACGAGGGGTGTATCCCTTGTTTTTGATTCGTCACTCTACAAAAAGTGACCCTCAGAGCAGGGGAAACTAATGAGCGGTGTTGGTCACATTAGGAATCAGCACATCCTGTTGGAGACCTCCATGAAGTTTTGTGTTAATATGACTGACTGGCTTTTTATTTTCTTTCCTGTTCTGCAGGGTCTTTGTGAAAACTTCAGGATTTATAACCTGTTCCTTTTTCACATGTAACTCTAATGGACATTATCTATATGCAAGGATCCGCTATCTCTCTTGACTGTTTGTGCCTCTATAAAAGAAGAAACACAGAGATGATGATGGAGATGGACTTTGGGCTGGTCCTTCTTACAAGATAAATACTATTGGATACAAGAATGAACTTCCTTGAGAAATTTGACTTTTGCATCTCTGTTAAACAAGGTTTTTTATGCTCACTACTGCAGACTTCACTCCTTGAAGTGTACCTGCTTCTAGGTGTGAAGGTGTAGTGCAGTCCACCTGTTTAGGCTGAACAAGCAGAAGAAAACATCAGGTTTCTTTGTTACTGCAGTGCCAGCCCTCATAAATTTTTCAATTACCTAGATTGTATTTATTTAAAAAAAAAAAAAAGACATGATTTTGTGCTACTGATTGATTTACAGAAGACTGCCTTTCTACTTCTGCTAGACTGGGACTGCTGGAGAGAATTATTTCCTGGTAGGAAAGCCCAGAAGGTTTGTAATACAGTGGTGGGGTACATGTTATCAATGTTTTTTAAATAAACTTCTGGAATTATATTATTATAACAGAAAGAGTCCTACATCACTGTAAAAGAGTGGAAAAAGTCCAGTCCTTTGGCTGAAATTAATGTGGTGAAGGAAGGAACAGAAACGTGGAAGAGTCCGAAAGTTCCATTAACAGAGTTTTAAATCCCTAATTTCTTCCACTGCAGCAATGGGTAAGAACACAAGAAGAATGCTGTGCTGTCTAACAAATATGGAAAGCACTGTGCTTAATCATTAGCCCACTGTGACTATTTATACTGTTATTTGAAGACTTAAATGGGATCAAACTATTAATCCATAAATAGATTTCATGTTGACTGCACAAGACTTGATTCGAGAGTCAGAGGAAACAAGTAGGATGCCTTCAGGGTGTTAGCTGTATTACAGTTACAAACTAAGATTCAGCATTCATAAAACCATCTGAAATAGAAAGTACTGCAGACTCTGAATTACAGAATACTATAAAATTTGAAGCTTTATTCTATAAAACAAGAATACAAACATGGAAAATGCTTGACAGACACTACAGACAGAACAACACCATCCCCAGAACTAGAGCCCAGCGGTCATTAAAATACAAGGCTTCATGTATTTAAAAGTTTTCCTGATAAACAGCTGCTTTCACTGTACAAAAGGTACAAGAATTGTCTGGTTGATTCTTTTTAGTGTTATTTCTGGTAATAAAATAGCCCAAGCTTTTAACATGGAAACTGGCACCTCAGGAGTGAGATTTTTTTTTTAGTTGCCAGAGAGAACTTAAGCCTGCTAAAAGAATACAGTTTAAAATAATCTTAAAATACAAAATTATAGGAACTGAACACAATTCCAGCAGCTAATCCTAGATTTTGGCAGTTTTTCTAGTGAAGGCAGTGGTTTAACCCACCATTAGTTTAGCTCATACAGTAAAGTAAGAATTGAACTATTACCATGATGCCAGCTCAGTCTAGTGTTCTATCACATTATCACAAGCATGTTGAATTTTTTTGTGTCATACTTCAGCACGAGCAACAGTAATGGTGAGGTCATGGCTCAGCTGCACTATGAACAGAAACTATACAAGGTTATAGGATATATACACACACACCCACAAGCCCCCTCCCTGTATCCTAGGGAACAGAATCCCTCTTGTAAGCCACCATGGTGTTTACTTTGTGGATCGTGGTGGTGAAGGAACGCAGACGAACCTCTTCGGAATTGGTAATGAACTGTGGCCCTGACTCTTCCCACTTTTCTGGCACTGCCAGATCCTTATCTGTGTATATCAGCAAGTCAAAGGCACCTGTAAGCAAATGGCAACAAATTAATTAATAGTAATACACACGTAAAGAGATGGCGGGTTTGAAGTGCGCCTTCTAGCACTTGAACCAGTGTTCTCAGAAGTTACACTAATAGTTATGTGAAAAAAAACTATTTAAAACACGAAAACAAGTCATACTGTTATATTCATCTGAGAACACTCTAGTTTTCTCAAGTGTTGTGAATTTTTTTAAACACCTTAAAAATGCTGTGGAGCTGAGCTCTGTGTAACACAAGCCAGTCCACAGCTAGTCACAAATCGACTTACACTCCTCAGAACACACATAGTAGTTTCTTTAAGTTAGTTAAGCCACCCTGAATTCTGTCCTGATCTCAGTCTAACAAAGTGCTGTCTCAGAAACATGATGGTACATGACATGTAGTAATCAAAAAGCCTCAGAAAATCAGCAAAAAAATATTAGCTAAAATGGAAAAGCTGTTGAGGTTTTCCAAAAGTGTTTGTTTTCTTTAGTGACATTCGGAATACTCACAGGCAGATTCCAGCAGTGGCAGGAAAGTTACTGTGGCAGTTATTTGTCTGATGACAGAGCGAATTTCATCCTGAATTGCTTTCTGAGACTTTTCTCGGGGTCCACTGGAAAAGCAAGGAAACTCTGGTAAGAAAGAAAACTTCTACTGTGGTGACAGCTTCCTTTAAATACAGTTCTCTCTATTAAGCTCTGTTGGTCTGTTTGCTACAGTATGTTTATAGTAGTGACACTTTAAAACCTTAGCTAGGTAGACTTAAAAAAGTCTATAGCTGGTCTCCCTTTGTTGTTGTTTATGCAGCTTCCCAATATTTGTAAGGAATGTTACATTTATTCTCAGTCCAAAATGAAAGAGAGCACTTTGGCATAACAACAGGAAAGCAGCAGTTCTTTGGGTTATGTACCCAAATGTACAGGACTTTACATGCTTTGTTGAGGATTAAAAATCGAAGTTTGATCTGATGCTTGAAAAAAAAAAACAAAAAAACAAAACCTGACGATTATGTATGGTTTGATCATAAAACCACTAAGAAAGGAGGAACAAGTGAAGGAACAATTACATGGCATTGATCTTGTGCCTGCACAGCTCCTGGGGATAAGGAAGAGCAGGTGTGGAGGGGCTGCGTTACTCACTTGTCATCCTTCGCAGTTTTGTCACACTCGATGTCGAACTGCCACCGCTCCAGGACCTCGTTGTTCTCGATGCTGGAGATGACGACCACCAGGCGCTGCACGATGCACTTGTACAGCCACTCTGAAAGAAGCCAAGCGGTCAGTGACAGAGCGAGAAGGGCCAGCAGAGGCACACCAGGGAGGGCCCGGGAGCCTCCCCCGCACCTTTCATCTGCTCCGTCACGTTGTTGAGGTAGTTGGTCAGCTCGGGGTCGGTGGTGACCAGGAGGGTGAGCCCGTACTTCTGCACGCGGGTGAAGGTCTCGGGGGGGTAGATGCCGCGCTGGTAGAGGATGCTGTTGATTCCGTAGGCTGCGAGAGGGGAAGCGAGAAGATGAGGGAGAGAAACAGGGAGAGGAAGAGAGAGGGATGTGTACCACCGCCCCACCCCGCCGGCGGCCATGTCTCCCCACCAGACGCGGCCTCCCAGCCCTCCCCAGCCTCCCTCCCTCTCTCTCTCTCTCTCTCCCACCGCGGCCCCCAAGGCCACCCGCAGCCCCTCACAGAAGAACTCGGCGACGAGCTCGGCGCTGCCGCGCAGGGTGATGCCCTGGTGCTCCCGGCCGAGCTGGGGCTGCGCCATGGCCGCCGCTGCCGCCGCTGCTTCCCCGCCGCCCGGTTCGAATCGGGCCCCGCCCCTTCCCGCTGCCCCGCCCCGCCCCTCCTCGCGCGCGGCCGCGCCGAGGCTGAGGGGAGCGCGTGCCCCCTCACGGCGGGCCGCCGGCTCTGCCCTCAGGGAAAGGGGAGCGTCGCGCCCTTATCCACGGGGAAAAAAGGGCTGCGGCGTGCCCCGAAAGGCAGCTGCATCTTAGAAGGGGAAGATTTTTCCTCATGTTAAACTCCCCACCGGCTGTAGGTGCCGTCGCACCTGCTGGGCGGGTGCTGAGGGCAGCGCCCAGCGCGGGTGGGGCGAGTGAGGAGCTTCGCCCGGGAATGCCGTGGGAAGTCCGCTGTCAGCATTCCTTTAGGGACGTTCCACCGTACGAAAGCGCTTTTGAACTTAAAAATTACACTTTCCAGGTACGAACTGAATTAAGTTAATAGATCGCGTGTGGGTGATTTAATTTTTTCAATTTTGTGGTGGTGATCACTATGTAAATCATGTAGCGGTATCTAAAATAAAAATGGTATATTCTACAAAAACATGTGAAAAGGCAGGTGGGGAGAATCTGGGAAAGCAGGATGAAATGCAAGTTTTTCCTTATATCCGTTGAAACACCAAAATAAAGGGTTTAAGAGGCATGTGGGCTGTTGGGCTGCCTTAGGGAAGCGAAATTCCTAGTTGGTCAAACAGCTTAAATCAATCCTGTTACTACAGGGACACCACTAGCAGTGGCTAGTCACAACTGGAAGAAGCTCTGGTAGAGGTTAACAGGGAAGAGAGACTGAGTAAAACAACAAGGAATGTTGAAGTTTTTAAATACTATGAAGGGGAGAAGTTGCTGTCTACTGGGGTAGAAAGTAGATGGCCAGCTAATTAGCTGATAAAATCAATTAATAAGCAAGAAAATGAAAATTGAATGGATTTGTCGGGCATGGAAAAGCTGCAAATGAAATCTTTCCCTGAACGTGAGTTTTCTGAAGCATTGTCTGACACTACCTTATCTAAGCCTGGGTATGTTAGATGCCCATGTGGACCTTGAAAGAAACAAATCAAACAGTCTTAAAATGAAGTTATGTTCAAAACAGAAATATTTATACTGAGGATAAAAGCCATGTGGTGTGATTGCTTATTTTGTTGTAATAAACCACTTTCCCTCAAAAGCTAAGGCTTTCTCTTGGTTTCAGTTTTTGCTCCAAGAGGAGATATGGTTTGCTTCAAGGTTCATGCTGCTGTGATTAAAGCAAATGGTATAGTCCTGAAGTCATGTGCTGGAGTTCTGAAATGGTCTGAATAATTTAATTTAACCAAGAGAACTTTATTCTGGGTCTTGATCACTAGTGATTGTGTTAGACATAAATCCTCTGAATAAAATATTTCTGAGTGGCGTGTTTCAAAGCCTGTGGCAATGGAAGAATTTTTGATCCAAAGCCCAGCTTTTAGAAGTTAGATAGCTGTGAATATCAGCTGTTTTGTTTCAAATCTTACGTACTCTTCTGCTCTCAGTCATGTGTTCAAAATGGCCTCAATGCCCCTTTTTTTTTTTTTCTCCACTTGGCTCTTCACCCATTTTGTTTCCTCTGAGGTTTTTTGAGAGCTGCTCATTTTTGTGATAAATAAAAGACCTTGAAAGCCACGTTGCATAAGGCCAGGCAAGAACAGTAGAGCTTTTGATTAATACTTCACATATTTCTGCTCCAGCTATTTTACTGTTAAAACCAAATAGAAGAAAGAAATCCAGGTGGTTCTTGGTTTACCGAGTTGATTTCCCTGTGTTTCGGTTTGGATGGCTTGCAGGTGTGTGGTGGGTATGACCAGGTCCATTTGCTTATCAACAACAGACTTAGTTGCATCTTCATTACTTCTCCCAAGATTCACCTGGCAGGTACTGGGAAGGGTGGTGATCCTCAGTACCTCTGTTCAAATCCTAAACTTCCTGCACCTGGCACGCTATTTCAGAGTTTTGGATCACTCCTCTATCCCCAGTTCTGTACTGTGGTTAGCACTGTTTTCTGCCCTCATGTGCTCCCCTCTCCCTACCCAAAAAAACCTGACACCTTTGCACTTTTAAATTTTAATTTTTCTGTCTCTTTAGGGAAATAAATTCCCTTTTGCAGTGCATTACTAGTTTTCTTTCCATTTCTTTTATGTGCTGCTTTTTTTTTAAGGTAACCCAGGTCACATTCCCATAGTCATTCAGCAAACTAGAAAACATAACTCACTTGTAGAGTTCATTGCCATTATTAATTTATTTTTAACCTTCTGGATGATGGGCACAGGTCTCTCCTTCCAGCACAGCAAAAGGGTCTACGAAATGTGCTACAAAAGCCCTCATATGGTATTAACAGATGGTCATATTAAGCCTCACTAAAACGAGTTTTATCTTTTGTGGTAGATCTCAAGCAATTTTGAGTGGTTTCTTGATGTAGGGTAGGCCAGCAGCAGAGCCAAGTCCTATCACTGCTCCTTTATGTAAGAGTTATTTTTAAAACTTCCTAGTCTTTAAATCGTTTCCCTATCTTTAAATCACCCTGCTGTGTGTGAGCTTCTATACAGCTCTCATCCAGAATTCCGTGGTGATTTATTGTTATCTGGAATTAACTCTATATTTAATGTAAAATACTGCACTTTTTGTCAGACATTTTATTACCAAGCTCTTTTGTTTGTTTGTTTGTTTGTTTGTTTTGGTCAAGTTTGTTTTCAACAGTCTTTGTAGCATTAACGTTTTTCAGTGGTACTGAATGTACTTTGAAATTAGGCTTACTAGGCCGGGTACTTATTTCTTATGTCAAATGAAAAAAAAATTGATGTTTCTTTACTTAAGCTGAATGGTGTTCTTACATTGGCCTGAAAGTCCAGACAGTGGCTGCCTTGGACAGCGAAATAACATTTTGTGGATGTTGAGAGTTTTGAAAGCTCCTGTAGAACACTAGGTGGTATCATTTTCTTATTTGTTTGGGTGGTTTTTTTGTTTTCCCTAACACGTGACTTTTTTCTAAAGGATACACGGGTGAAAAAAATTTGTGATGGCTTTGCCTCTGAACTACCAGGAGATGGCACCAGGCCCACACATTATCTGCACCCTTTCGGTTTTTGTCTTGAAGTAGAGTGAGTTTTTCTTACTGTTACGTACTTTGGACAAGTTTTAGATGCATTTCTTTTGCTAGTTTGAAAAACATTGTTCCAGAACGAAGGAAATACTTGATGCCCAGTTTTGGCATTTACCTGTGGTTGCAGTGAAGGCATTCTGACAGGTGAACAGTTATTTTTAAACATTTCAAGTGAAGGTAGGAATCCTTTTTCATAATTGGGAAGAACAAAAGGGAATTGAAAATTCATATGAAGGCAGCAGGTAAAAGGAAGAGGTTGAGTTTTAATGGTCAAACCTGGCAAAGAGTGTCCAGAACCACAGTCCAGCTGCCATATTATTCTGTGTTTCAAGTACTTTATTTTCCATTTCATTTCACTTTGTGTAAGCCTTTCAGTACTGGTAAAATTTAAACTTACTGCGATCTCCTTCTCTGAATTAAACTCCTGACAGAGAACCTCTTTTAATATTTCTTCTTAATGGTCGTCACATTTGTTTATGTGACAGTTTCACTGTAAACAATGTTAAAAAACCCATAAAACAATATTGGTGGCAAACGATAACCTGCAACTTTTTACACATCACACATCTAGTGGTGGTGAAGTGCTGTAATCAAGAGCTTGGTGTAACACCTTAAAACGTACAGTAACAGAAACAGTTTGACAGACAGGGCCTCCATGTGGGTGCACACTTTGGAGTAAGCAAGGACTTAGAGCTCAGGAAGCACATTGTTCACTCTCACGTGTTCATTTACCTGTGATTTGCTGTGTCATGTCACTTTTTTTACCCCAACCCTGTTCTTCAGTTCCACGTACTTCAAAAAGGGGTTGAGGTGGTCAAAGTCCCATAAATAACCTAGGTTTGTAAAAGGTTGTGCTGTTTGTCTGGGCAATGCTCATCGGCTACCTCTGCTTGAGAGAGTTGTTCTGGTATGCATAGTTGGTATAAACTGACTTTTACAGCTGCTGGGCACGACTAGAACTGGAAAATTACCGACTTTATAGTAGAATGGAGAAATCTAAATGGGAAACTACTGACTGCACAGGATTTTAAGACCTCCTGAAGATTTAGACAGAGAATTCAGATACTAAAGGACCCATCTCTTGAGATGATGAATTGTGATTAAGCATGATTTAGCAGGCCTATTAGAGTGTTAAAGGCTCACAAAAAGCCACTGTAGCTACTTTACTAAATACAGAGAATACTCATGTGTGAGCTGCTGTGACAGGGGAGTAACCTGTGTTTGTGCACAGATGACAGTGCTCACCTTTGCAGACCTTCTGAGAAAGCAGTGACACACTTTTCAACTTCACAATTCAATTCTTGATGTGATTTTTAAAGCATTTTGTAAAACTTGATTGAGTTGTAATTTGCAAATGGCTCAAGGGCCAATTTTTGTTCGCTATTCAGTATTAGTTAATAATGATCACAAAACAGTGACCTGTGTAGTGCTATTTCAGTTTTTCTTTCTACAGAATCTTTCTGTTGTGTGAAATCACTCTTG